TAAGCAGCAAGCTCCCGTCACTGTGCGACTGAATTTGACTGCGATATTGTGCGCTCTCTGTCGAGAGAAATCTGGTCCAAAAAAACACTACATTTTGCATGTTTTAGCAACATAATTAAAATGTTTAATTGAAACTGATTATTCATTATTTCTCTTTGAAATGTAATTGTAAAATGTGTTTTATTGCATTTCGTGTACGTGCGATAGATCCGGTAAAACATGAAAAGTTTAATTGGCATCGTATACCATTACCATTTAATTGCCATTGTATCCGGTTTAATTGCCACTACATATCATTCGGTATAAAATGTTTCTTCCAACTCATAAAGGATAAGATGGGAAGGGAAATTTTTTATATTGAATTATGACATTGCAAATTTGATAAGCAAATTTGACATTTGATATGAAAATTTCAGCAAAAAGCATCAATGCTAGCCGAAGTTAACATGTTTTAAGTTTTCAGGGAATTTCTGAATTACAGTTAAATTCTTTATGTGAAACTTAATGATAGAATAGCATAAACATTTCTAGATACATAAATCGTTTGCCTAAAATGGCAACCTTTGACTAAGTTCTATTTTTTTATTAATTTACCTGCAAACCCGATTTTCATCAAATCGTGGCCTCTTCGAGAGTCAGTAATGGCCACTAGATATTTTACGCCCTGAACGTGTTTGAGACCAAAATAATCTACAAATACCCAATGCAAGTTTCATAATTGAAGTGTCATTGTTCGTAAGAAATACTCAACCTAAAATTTATTTATAAAAATTCACAAATAAATACATTATCTTCGTTCCACACCTCGACACTTGTATCACTGCCAGCAGTGTGTTTGGGTTCGTACAGTTCTCAGAGATATTGCAATGAAGCTCGAACGAGAGCTAGTGCAATAAAGCAATTAGCATAGAACTTCAACATTTTCTTATTCGACATCTTGCTATAAATACAACACTTCAAAACATCAGCTTCACGTTCTGTAAGTTTCAAATAAGTGGGAACTTACGATATTTATATTTCACATTTTGTGTTTACAGTGGCCTCTATCGAGGCAGTGACCAATACTGGTGTCGTTATCGTAAATATGAGGGAAATCATTCGACAAGTTTTAAATCTTGCAGGCTCATTTATTTTCAACTCATATATCACCATCAGTGGTTCTTTCCGTGTTTGATACAAACTCCAGCGACATGTTCTCGCTTCCCAGATTAATTGCTCGAGTAACGTCCGGTATGACCCCTTTTGTACTTTAACAGGTTAGGACGTTTACGAGGTCTCAACGTGCCTCAGGATATCACAAGCTCTTGGCGCAGGCTAATACGCTCACCGTCGTAGTTCCATTGAACATCCCCAGAACGAGCGAACGAGACAAAGCGAGAGAGAGAGAGAGACAAAGCGAGAGAGAGAGAAAGAGACGAAGCGAGAGAGAGAGAATGAGACGAAGCGAGAGAGAGACAAAGCGAGAGAGAGAGAGAAAGAGACGAAGCGAGAGAGAGACAAAGCGAGAGAGAGAGAGAGAAAGAGACGAAGCGAGAGAGAGAGAAAGAGACGAAGCGAGAGAGAGAATGAGACAAAGCGAGAGAGAGAGAGACGAAGCGAGAGAGAGATGAAGCGAGTGAGAGATGAAGCGAGAGAGAGAGAGAGAGAGACGAAGCGAGAGAGAGAGACGAAGCGAGAGAGAGAGACGAAGCGAGAGAGAGA